CATCGTGGACACAGGCCTTTAGGTCTTAAGTTCTACTGCTTAAGGTTTTTCGTGTATTCAGGAACTTGGTCCAAGTTCTAGTTTCGAGAAATGTGTAGGCAATCAGCTTGCAGCTATTCCATAAAAGGCCTGTGTCCACGATGCTAGAACTTGATCCAAGTTCTAGCTCCGAGAAAAGTGTAGTCAATCGACTTGCAGCTTTTATAGAATAGTTGCAAGTTGATTAGCCTCGCACATTTCTCGGAACTGGAACTTGGACCAAGTTCTAGCATCGTGGACGCAGGCCTTTCGAGTCTTAACTAGTAGGGTGTCGTTTTGCGCCGATCCCATCTGCGCATTCGATCATTGTTCTGGGTAGACTAATGAGAGAAAAGTTGGGTGTGTGGTAGTGCAGTTTTGATACGCTACCACACGTACAACTACAGTACGTACACACACATGCACTGTTGGATTTCTGCCCAAAATAATGGCGGAATACCACGTGATTGGGACCGCAAAGATCAAAGGAGCCGACAGAGCTAGTAGACCTACTAGCTATACTATGCTGCAAACGCTTCGAAGCGCTTCTCATCTCTTTCTATCTTTACTGAAAGAAAAGAGAGGAAGGATACTTTGTAACATTTTCATTTAACATGAAGCGACAGCTTGACCGCAGTCTACGTTATGATTCGTGGATAATTTCAGCCCTTGTTAACAAGAATTTGAATAAGAATGAGTTTAGGGTTTTCGATTATATATGGAACGTACAAAATACGTTCTGTAGTTCTTTAGCTTTATAAGTGAATGTTCAAGGTTTCTTCGCCTCTACATTATGATTCGTAGATCACTTCAATTATTGTTAACAAGAATTTGAATAAGAAGCTCGAGACTTAATATTCTTCGGCAGGCGGACGTTATGTATCTTTGGGTTTCTACTTTACTCGCAATCTGAAACACGTTTTGTGCGCGAAAAATTATTAAAATAAGGTGTAAACTGAGATGCGTGAGCGTTCGCGCAGCTGTACTGGATTAAATTCGCACTGTATATTTGTGTGTCTTTTAGGTATGATCGATTGTTTCGTTCGTATTCCACGTGAGCAAGGATTCCTCAGCTACTGGCGCGGTAATTTGGCCAATGTTATCAGATATTTCCCGACGCAGGCCTTGAACTTCGCCTTCAAGGACAAGTACAAGCAGGTTTTCCTCGGTGGCGTTGACAAGAATACTCAGTTCGGACGCTACTTCCTTGGAAATCTCGCGTCTGGTGGTGCTGCTGGAGCCACGTCTCTCTGCTTTGTCTACCCACTTGACTTTGCCAGAACCAGGTAAATTACTCGGAACAGTTTACTTTATTCCACATGTCAGTAATAGAAATTATCTCATCCGTACGCTAATAATAGGTATTGTTCCGCAAAGATAGATTGGAGAATCAAAGTTTGCCAAAGAAATGGTATTGGAACGCAACAATGTGCGAGACGATTTTCCATTAAATTTATTTATTAATGCTACTTGATTGTTCCAGCTAATAATTGAAATTACTATTGCGTTAATAACACTGTTCAAGAAAAGAAAGAAGCACAAAAAAACGAGAATGATTGTTTCCCGTAGTGGACGTCGAATACGATCCCGTTTGTCAAATTGCTCCGTCACGTCACAATTGTGCGAAATTTGCAGTTAAAGTAGTCAATAATGACATGCCGGAGAGGTTCTATTGTAATTAAAATGAAGTATGAAGGGCTTTCAGCCTAACAACACTACACGGAACCGATTAGTTTCGTTCTTTTTATGCTAAAAGAATCGTGGAACATGTAATAGTAATTGTCATTCTTAATGAACAAGCAATTAGTAATTAGAATTAAATTTATTCTTGTAACTTTATGTACCTATCGTAGCGAAGAGTAATAGATATATTTATGTCCATCTTAAAAATATTATTTTTCTATTAAATAAAAAAAAATATATAAATAATTCTATAAATACTGAAATATTTAAAACTTGTTGCTGCATTTTCACATCCTTTCTTTACTCCATCAGGTTGGCTGCCGACGTAGGCAAGGGTGCCGGTGGGCGTGAATTCTCCGGCTTAGGTAATTGTTTGACCAAAATCTTCAAAACCGACGGTCTCGTCGGTCTTTACCGCGGGTTCGGCGTATCGGTGCAGGGTATCATCATTTACCGTGCATCTTACTTCGGTTTCTATGACACTGCCCGTGGCATGCTGCCAGACCCCAAAAACACTCCATTCCTCGTCTCGTGGGGTATCGCCCAGGTGAGAATGCGTTTACCTCGCGTATCTCTGCCGTCCTAACAGTCTGTTGGGGACAGGAACCGTCGTTGAATTGCACCACGCTGACTCATCCGTATCTGTTGCAGGTCGTAACCACTGTCGCGGGTATCATATCCTATCCCTTCGACACAGTACGTAGGCGTATGATGATGCAGTCGGGCCGTGCCAAGAGTGACATCCTGTACAAAAGCACTCTTCACTGCTGGGCCACTATTTACAAGTCGGAAGGTGGTAGTGCCTTCTTCAAGGGCGCGTTCTCCAACGTTCTCCGCGGTACAGGTGGTGCGCTCGTACTCGTGTTGTACGACGAGATCAAGAACCTTCTTTAAAGTGCTAAAACGATCCTCGTCTCATTACTTTCACGATCACTGACATTGTCATTAAATTATCCACACCATCCGATTTGATAGCGATTCCCACAGACCGACGGACGGAAGAAAGAACGTGCTGTCGAGGATATTAATAAGTAATTCAGGCTGAGGACGTTTGTTGTAGCAGCTCGTAAAGTGCATGAAACTCGGCATAAACCATAAAAAAAAGAAAATAAGCATAGAAGAGAATCTGCTTAACTTATTGCCGGATTCAGTATTTTCCCGCAGCGATTGACATTACGTATTTTCGTATTCTATTGTTGTAAAAACGTTGAAGAGGCAAGCACAATCGCGTTTAGGTATCGCGAACACCTGTTACCTGGATAACGTTCCATACACGCCACGCTGAGTAAGTAGACCGGTCGGAATATCTAAGTACTTGAAAGTAACAAATTGCCTAGAGAACCAAGTCAGCGCACGCGAAATCATCGAGAGAGGAGAACGCGCGACGAAGTGTCATCACGGCGATGGCGGGGCGCGTAGCCTGGGCCGCCCCCCGCCCTTATTCTCGGCCCGTTGTAGATAATTCATAATTAATTCGTAATTAATAAACAATCATTTTAATGGTATCAGCCAGTCCGTTGATTTTTGATGGACGATAATTTAATTTCGCACTCCAGACGACCATGTAAGATGAAAAGCGTTACTCAGAATGTATGCATCTAATCTGTTCATGTTAGGATGCATGCAGGGAAAGCAGCAAATCAATAAAAACGATATAAAATTTCATACATTCGGAAATTATTTTCTTTCCTGAAAACAACGAAAAGAACATTTTTTTCAGAGCCGCTTTTAGTATAACAAGTTTCAAGTTGAATTATTTCACAAATTTAACTATAAAATTAATAGATATTTTTTTCCTTTCAATCAATACGATTTCAATATCAATACGTTTCTAAATTAACATTTACGGTCATTGATATATTTGTCTCAAAACTTTTAAAGGATTTTATATAAATTTGGTACATTCTTCACCGTGATTTTGATATGCGAGACACCCATATTGATAAATAATACACATTGAACACGTTTATTTATTATGTTATCCGAAAACATTCATTACTTGATCAGGAGAAGAGTACGTTTTTGGCCATTGTTTTACCGACAATAACAAGTACTTCGAGATAAAGAAAGTCTAATATCTTTACAAAAGAGTTTTTGGAATGTTTCTCGTGTAACCAAATGTACCCTTGACGTAATCAATACAAGTCACAGTGTATATAAATTGAAAAAAAAAAACATACAAATCGATTATAACACAACGTCTTACCGATATCTTTTCTCACACAGACCGACACGAGAGATAAATTATCCTTCTATTTTTGTACAAAAACCCGACGGTTGACACATTCACAAGCAGGAATGATGGACAAAGAACATGGAGCGTGACACTCGACCGTTTTATATACAGGTTTCCAAGCGGAGAGACGTGGATGTTTCCTGACGTATCATACAGTTGTGCGATTAGAGTCGCCCGCTATTATGTCCAGAACTCGACTGATGCCAGGCATATTCAGCACCATCCCCAGTATAGGCACTCTCCGCAAGAAATTTATCGCTACCGGTAGAAAACCACTGAAACAGAGATGCGTGTTAATTAACTTGGACAGGAGACACGGGTCCACGTTAACTCTGGGATCTTTCCAGCAAGCGACACAAGTCGACACAAATGTTCTGTCTTTCTTCGCATTCAATGAATAATAAAGACAGAACGACAGTTGTGTCGCTTGCTGGAAAGCTCCCTCTGTCAGCGGATGCCAGGTCGTTCAGGACTCGACGACAAGCTCGTCGTGCGTTCGCAGCTGCTTCTCCACGCCTCGACGTTCTCTTTATTGGATCGTACTTGACTCGGGTGTACTGTGCGCGTGTATGCCCACTGTCCAATGGGTTCAACACTCACCTGAAGAGTAGTACAAAGCCATAGGTTTCCAAGATCATTCCTACGATGGGCCAACCCATAAGCACTACTAAAACGCCTCCTAAAAATGAGGCGCTGGCTTTTATCTTGTGCCTCTGGAAGAAGAAGTTCAACGTCCTCCACGGCCCGATGACACACGCGAGCCCCGATATAAACAGAAGCTGCAGGGGGGGAGACAAACGTTGCGAAAGGTCAGTCACGGGGGTACAAAGATCTAACAGACGTAAATAAGCGAGCAGTTTGAAAGCGTGCGCGATCGAGCTTACGTTTCCGATAGCGAGTAGACCCTTGTCGAAGAGGAGCAGCACGCCGAGGAAGAGGAAGGAGATGCCGAATCCCGCCAGCCCCACGCCGATCTCTGGAACAAAGTCCCTCACGGTAAGATCCAGCAAAGAATGCGCGCGCGATCGAGACCGCGCCGGCTTAGCCTAGCAAAAGGATCGACAACGGCCGTGCGGGAGCCGATCCCCGCGCACTCACTCTGCGTGTCCGTGATCTCGAACATTGTTATTTACAAAATTGGTCCGGCGTCCAGGAAACGTGCCCGCTACACCCGCGGCGATTGGCTCGGTCCGTTTGAGCGCGAACGGTAACCTAACCTATATCCACGTCATTGGTTATGATGCGGCACGCGAGTCCCACTGTGCGGAGCTTCGTCAGCTCTCCCGCGAACGCCCTTTGCGCGCGAGCGGATTCATCGGAGGGACGTGTCGATTCCGCGTCGCCCACGTCGCCGACCCGTTCCGTCTCCGGGCTTCGTGCGGGGTTGCTCTCGAGGAAAAAAGAAAAAGTCCCGTGGGAGACGACCGGGCACTCCAGGCGACTCGAGCCTCGAACACGAATTACTTGACCCAAGCGTCAACCTGAATCGAACATCCCGATCGTTTCCGATGAGCCCCGATCGTACACGTGTCGTGAAATGTGCGAATGTACAGTGCACGTAACGTCTATTTCTGTCCAATTAATTTTTTAGCAGCGACAGAAAGTCAGGTCGGCTGCTCTTTTTCTTTTATTTTGATGAGTTTACAGCGCGCCGATGTTGCGAAAACCGCGAATCACGGATCGCTCTGCGGATCTGTTTCGAGCCTTCCCGATCGATTGTCGAGTTGCGCATACAAGAGGTGTCTAAAGAAAAAGCAGCCAACGTTCGGTTGTATCGGGTCAATGTTTCAGCAATGTTTCTGGTCCACCGACGTTTGTGGAACTGACCCTAAAAGAATATGTTTCTGGAAATACTTTTTTTCATGAAATGCGACTATACATATTACATAAACAATAAACATATATGCATGTATAAATATATTAAATGACGTGCGTATACATCGTGGTATACTGTCCGTGCTTTCCAGCAAGCGACACAAGTCGACACAAGTGTCGTTCTGTCTTTATTATTCATTGAATGCGAAGAAAGACAGAACGACATTTGTGTCGACTTGTGTCGCTTGCTGGAAAGCACGGTGTATGCATCTCATACATAATTCAACAAATGGCACAGCTATCGTCACTGCGCAAATCTATGGAAGACCGTATCCGTTTTTTAAAAAACCGACGCGTTCTGAAACTCATCGTAAACCCGTATCAGACTACGGATTGAGATTAGATTGAAATTTGACCAATTAGAGTAAAAGTTACTGAACTTGAGGTTAGTAAACTTTATTGTGATTGGTCAAATTTCAATCTAATCCTACTCTCAATCCGTAGTCTGATACGGGCTTTAAGGAGATGCTGAAGTGATTCTGCACTTTTGCACCTTTTGCACTTAAAACCATTGAACTATAACCATACTGGAAGGAGCACTCCATTGTTGTCGTGCGGTCAGAGTTGTGCGAGAGAGATAGTTGAGTGGGAATGGAGCTATTCTTGTCTAACTAACTACAGCGAGG